TTAAAAAGGTACCTACCTAATTTTATTAATTTGTCATAAAAATGTCTACTTCTTTTTTTAAAATATAAATAGTATGACTAAATTAGAAAATTAATTTTATTAAAAAAAGGATATTGCTGCTTTGGAATCGGCAAAAAAAATTGAAATAAAATCAACTGAAGGATATTCAAAATTAGGTAAGTATGATATTCTCATTGTGAGAAAAATAAATAAAAAGGTTATGGATTAGGTATCTTATTATAAATATCTATTTATTATAATTTTTTTCCTAGTATTGAATATGAAAAAAGTATTATCAGAATTGTATAATAAGAATTTTGATTTGCTCATACAAAAAGAAAATAGATTGCTTGAATTGAAGAATCAATCAAAAGAATTTAATGCCACAAAGACTACATCTAAGGTAAAAATATAATTGTCACTCCTCTCAAAATCTAAAAGCAATATATTTATATCTATATGCATATAAATATATTATATTTGATAGATGCCTAACCTATATTAACGGTTACATTTCAATACTATATTTTATTTTCAATAGGAAAAACAGGAACTAGATTGTTATATAAAGGAATATGATTTGCTGAAAGCCAAAAATATGCATCTCAAAGAAATGATATCTTTCAACATTCAACAAAATATGTAAAATGTTTGTCATTTCCAATAAAAAAAATATATGTTATATAAAAACCATTTAAAAAATAATCCAGAAGATAACATATTGACAAATGTTTAATTATTTTTTATATCAATAGTTTATAACTTTTACCAATATGTGGTGAATCATGCRTAAATCAATTTATCTATTTGAATTAAGTATAAACATATTATATTCATTTTAAGCATAATTATGAGTTGTTATTTATGCGTATCTTGAAGGAAAATGGAATTTGTAGACTGGCGAAATGACATACCTACTAAGCAACCATGTAGTAAGTAGGTAATTGTTAGTCTAGTTTTATCTTTGATGATACAAGACTGCATTTATGATTACCTGAGAGATTCATAATTAACTCTATTCTATATAAATTATAAATGTACTATAATAATAATATTATATTAATTTTTTTGTGTAATATTTGTTTTTTACATTTAGTTCAGACTGTTCAGAGCTTTAACCTAAATAAAAATTGTTAATTAATTTGTACATACCTATGTAGGTATTATAAAGAGAAATGTAATATTTTAATTAGTATTTATTTTTGTAAAATACATATATATGAATAATTACTAATTAAGTGAATGCTACCTTAAAATGTAGATAATATTAATATTATATTCAAGTGCGAAAATTATATATAAATTATCTAAAGTACCAATGTTTAGAACATAGATATTAGATACATCGTACATAATATGTATAGGAAGTGCACTGCATCTCATAATCCTTTTTCATACCTACTATTGTAATCCAGTRCACATGTGTTTAGAATAAATCATTGTTAATATTGAACAGTAGTTTAAAACCTAAGTGGAAAAGTAAAGAGAACATATTATAATGATAGTATATTAATGGGATTATTTAAAATAACTTACATACAATGATTCCATATTTATGTAGGTATGTCATTAAGTTTTAAATAGTTAATACAGTGATTAATATCTTTATTAGGTTTTATATTTACCCTATCATTAGGCAAACAATAAGTAATTAAACACCTATATTTATCATTATATTAATACAATCATAAGTTCTGTTGTAGGTACACAATTTACAAAAATAGTATATTTATTCCTCGACATATAGGTATGGTTCCTATACAATGTATTCCTGTAGGCTGTAACAATTATAAATTGACTACCTATATTATAATAAATACATGTACCCAATAGATAGGTATAATATAGGCTATAATACCTATATATTTATAATTATTATCTATTAATGTTTAATATTTAGGTGTAATAATAAGTTAATAATAATAAGTTAGGATTGAAACTACAAAATAAAAATATATACATAAATAATAATAAATAAATTATCAAAAAGCTGATTATTGGATTTATGTACTTTTATTGCCAAACGATTGTAAGTAGGTAATTATTATATCTTTGATTTTTATCCTATTGTACATTTGTACAGTGGCGCCGAACCCTATGTTAAGGTCGGGCCATGGACCGACATATTTTGAAAATTTGAGATAGGGCCGCTTCATATTGATCATTTTCCTCTCCACAGTATGCTATTTTATCCGATATTAAGATGTTGGGCCTCTTGAAATATTTTTCGCCCTACTAGATTTTTAGGACTTCGGCGCCACTGCATTTGTACATCAACATCAGTATACTAACTACTAATGAATTACCATTGCACATTAATATTACCTAGTAGCATAATATATAACAACTACATTTACATTTCTAATTTGTAAATTATGTTTTCTATTTTAAAATGTTTGTATACACAGTTCCTACAACTGGTATCATTCTTATTGTTAGTTGGGAAATTTTGAACAGAGTCTTGTATGTTTTAAGAATAGTAGTGACATGCAACATAGAGTTTTAACTATTTATCTTATTATACAAGCCATTCCCAGAGTGTGTTTATTGAAATTCGAACATCACTAGTGAAGTAGTGACTAAGATTAATGATTATAATCTCTGTTAGTAAGATAAAGTTAATAGACTACAATGATCTGATAATAGCCTGAAAATGGCAATTCTTTAATTACATACTATAATCATATGTATTTTTGATTATATGATATAATAATCCAACTAGGCTTTTAATTTGATTAAGTTTTAAGTATATTTTGGCAGGCAGATTGTAAAATGTGATAATTATACATAGGTAGGGATGTAACCACAATTTTATTGTTCTTTGCCGCTATATAGGTGATAGGTTTCTATATTTAAGTTTATTACTTGCTTTAGTTTAGAAATGTTTCATGTTTTTTTCATAATTTATATTAATGTGGTCAAKGTTTTATACCTACCTAATCAAAATTATTTTGTTTTGCATTTTAAATATTGTTTATGATTTTAGAACAAACAATTTCAAATTAAGAATTGTTTTAAATGTATTTAGCCAAGCAAAGTATACTGTAAAATACTGCAATATATGTTTTTCTAGAAACTATTAAGCCATTAATAAATTAACTGACTACCATGTTGTATAATATAAACAGATCACAATATAATATGTGTAATAATTATTTAATACATTTATTTAGTTTAAATTACTATACTATAGTAAAATTGTTCTTTTTCTAGAGTTTGTTTTTGACCCATGTAACATTTAATAATTGTATATACATTAATACACTATATAGTCTTATTAATTACATATATATTTATCATTATCTTATAAACATTATTTTTATCGATCATATTGATAGTTATTCAATTTGTTTGGCCTCAACTTACAACTGTGTACAAAATAATTATATAGCACATGATAATCTTCCAATATACGGTTGTATCTGTTTCCATTACATATTGCAGTGATTGTACCTCCAATTTTGTGAGCAAGTACTTACATAATGTTCTACTTAATCTGGTAAGAGGTTTTATAATTAATTTATTGATTAAGAAAAAAAATACTAATGAATATGATAACTTAAAAATTAAAACAAACAATTGATTATTGTTATTCAGGGCCAGTCTTAGGGATCTATGCACCCTGGGCAAGGAAAATTAATGTGTTTTCTAGTTTAGGTTAAGTAATTGATTTAAACAACTAATATATAAACTCTGAATGCGCCCAACTCACCCACCCCTAAAACTGGCCCTGTTGTTATTAACCTATTTTAATGTCATTAATTAAGTTATTTTCTTAACAAAAAGTGAATCAGTGTTGTTTAATATGATAGATATCTAATTATAAAGATTTTATAAGAAAAAAAATGTTCATATTGGTTTGTTATATAGTGTTATATACACTTGTATTGGTATTTCATTGTTTTTACATTGACTATTGTTGAAAAATCTTAGATATCATAATTAATTTGTTTTTTAAAACAAATAAAGTAAGTAAATAATATATAGCAAATGTTATTACCTGTATGTCCATTGTTTGTTATGGTTGTTGACGAGGGAAGTGTGTCAATATTGTGAAAACGCAAAAGTGGTAGATTTACTTTCGTTACAAGATTCTCTTCGATGTCAATTGGTGATTGATATTTTCCTGAACATGTTTTATACTCTGTTGCCCAATGAGAAGGATCTAAAATAACAATATTTATTATTTATGTAACTTAAATTAATACAGATGCTAAAAAATGTAGTACCTTGGTACTATATTATAAGAAAATGTCTAAATGATAAAATTAGGTATATTATGTAGTTTAACTAAATTGGTATTTATTTTCCAACCACTTAATAGATTATAATATACCAAAAATATACTTATTCAATATTTTTAGAT